TAAATCTTATCTTGTGAGATTTGGAATTCATTTATTAGATGATTTAGAATTCATAGAAGAGAATCCCTTCGAGACCTCATTTTCAATAAATCTTTTTGACACCTCATTTTCAATAAATGAGAAACTGAGGTAGAATTGATGAATATTTACTAGTGCAAATAGAGAAAAAATTTAAGTATTGCAAGAACACTGTTCAGAAAACAATGAATATTATTAAGCAGTTATTGTAAGGTTATCTCATCTTTATATGATTTATATTTTTTTCAGAAGGGGGAGTTAACAATAAGCACTTCTTAAACACATTTGATTTATTACAAAAACATGCAACTTTACTGAGTTAAATTTGATAGTGCCTCATAGAGATAAAATAACTGAAATCTGCTATCAAGCTCAAATTATCTAACCTAAACTCTAAATTTTAAAGCAAAAGTGATTAATAAACTTACATTACTCATTTTTAAATACAATTTATACACTGAACAAATTAAGAAATATGCAACCAAGAATTAACTGTAATATTACAAGCATTCTTAATTATAAATATTATTTCCAAAATATTAAAAATACCAAAGAATGCATGAAAAATTCAATAACTCTTTATAGAATTAAATAATAAAATATAAGGAACAAACATCATAAATTCAAAAGTTCACACTACATATTTACAGAAAGCATTTACACTATCTACAGGGTGGCTCAAAAATACTTTCAAGATTTTTTATTTCTATAATTCTTTCTGGAATAAATATTAATCGAGTTTCTCTTTTTCATGTTAAAATAAATGCTTGGGAGTTTCAATATGGAGCAATACATATCTACAGAAAGGATAAATAACATAACTTTTTATTTGGGAGGCAGCATTATTTCTACTCGCAGAAACTTACAACATTTTAATGTGAATAATGCTCCTTCTAACCATATAATATTGCAACTTGTAGTCAAATTTGAGGAGACAGGAACAGTAGGAGACACAGGGAGGGCAGGAAGACTGCAAACAGCAAGATCCATTGAAAATATTCCAGCGTGTGCAGGAAAGCATTCATGAAGCACCAACAACTTCACCACAAAGACGCTCTTTGAAGACAGGGATCAAACAACGATCACTGCAGCATATTTTTAAACAAGATCTTCACCATGCATCTATATAGAACACAGCTGGTGCAACAATTGAGTCCACAAGACATCATGCATATGTAGAATACAGCCAAGCCATATTAGATCTTGCAGACATGGAGGAAGGTTTTGTTAACAAATTGTAAATGTCAGACAAGGCTCATTTTCCCATATATGACTTTACGAAATTTGCAGTATTGGGGTACATAGAATCCACAATTAATTCACCAAAGGCCATTCCATAGCCACAGTATAGTGTGAAATTTCAGCCCAAAGAATGACACCTTATTTTTTACAAGATGAATTTGGTCACATACTATCAGTAAATGGAATGTTGGAGAACTTTTTTTAATATGACAGGAAGAAAATCAGCAGTACTGGTTTCAACAAGATGATGTCACTGTGATACTGCCAAAGCCACAACTGCTCTTTTGAGGGCACATTTCCTGAATCTATTATTCCTGAATTTGCACTTATGCCTTTTTTGCACGATGCACCACACACAATTTAATGCATAAAATTTTTATATTTTAACATTTTATATATCTTTACACCTTTATAAACATAATTTCTTAAATATTAGTCTCTGTAAATTTTCTGTGTATGATATTTCATGTAATGATTCCCAAAATGTACGCCTGGTTTATTGGGGGCAAGTATTAAAATAATATGCCTTTTTCCGGGATCAGTTCTCTGAGAACAGATTTTCCACATAAAAGTGATAAGTAAAGATACAATTTCAGATAAGAAAATCTTACCTCCATTTTAGGGGGCATCATTTTACACTTCATAAGATTATACACAAAGAATGTAAGAACTCTCTTCAAAGAAACTAAACGTAAACAATCATTGCTGCCTATCAAGTTTCCGCATCAAACTAAGTGGTGAGCGAGAGTCACCTCTCGAGGTGCGGCATGAAATCACATGGTGAGCGAGAGTCCCATCTCGAGTGCAAAGGGTTAATTTTGAAAAATGCACTTGAAATCCCCAATATTTCTAGATTATTTTCTTTGGGTTATCTGAAAGAAGGGGTTTATGTAAAGAAGCCACTATACTTGAAACAACTTAAGAGGAAATACTACGCGAGAGATATGGAAGATATCAAAACTTTATGAATCAAATTTTTCCTTCTCAACAACCTCTCTGTCATTTTCTTCACTATCGCTAGTGATATTTTCTGGATCTAGAACCACACTACAGATTTCACTGTTCGATAATTGATTGATGACTGGGGCATTGTCATCGCAATTAAAAGTGTTTATTACCACTTCTCCACATTTCATTACGAAATCCATTATTGCAAACCAAAACCACTCTGAGCCTTTGATCCACTCAAATTCATGGCTATCATTTTCCTCATGAAATATGGTAGCTGGCCTTAAATTATGCCAAGCATTTTTTAAAGCATCTGGAAACACATCCTCCTATGATCTTGTGATGCTCCATACTGCAGATTTTATGCTAAAATATTTGAAAAATTCTTGAATAGTCTCGTGATTATTCAAGATATTTAACATGGATTTAAAAATGCTACTTTATATTTGTATTTCAGCGTTCACATTATTCAGACATCCATAGACTGAATGATCCATGTACAATTTGGGGAAAAGAATAATATGGATACATTATCTTTCACTAAACTTTAAGTGAACTATGAGGCAAACAGTTGTCTACAATCAGGACAATTTTTGCAACATCAAGTAAACCAAAGCCAACTTATACTTACATAAGTTGGCCTTGGGTAAACCAACCGAATTCAAATGTTGCCGGGTCTCGGATATGAAATGATTTTCAAACCAATCATTCATTAACACTTGTGTCATTAATGTTCTTTTATTTGCACAATATATAATGAAGAGAGTATTTACTCCTTTAAATGCTCGAGGTTGAGAGATTTTTCCGATTACGAAAGGTTTACACTTGTGCGTTCCTACAGCATTTGCGCATGCTAACACTGTTAGTCTCGCTTTGGACTATTTGACACTAGTTACAGCCTTTCCTGTAGAGGCTGTCAAGTGATGGTGCAGATGCTTTGCAGATTTTTCAATCACATTCACTTGAACATACAACTGGATTAATATTAACTGTTGTACATGAAAAAATAAGATATCATCTCAGATAAGTTAAGTCCTGATCAATGCTTTGGAGCTCAATTTATTAATATAAGACCCTGCCTTATTTTCAGGTTTGCTCAAGTAAGTGCCTTTTTATTATTAACCTGCATTGCTTTGCTACACTCTTGAAAGGAAAACAGAAGGGCAGCATATTTAATTGGGCCCATGAATACACAAAACAGAAATTTAGCCACACTTGGAATTTACTTGTTACTGGGGAGTTTGGATGAAGCAAGAGTCAAAAAGTTAATAAATAACAACAGAATATCAAAATTTTGAATGCCAATTTGGCTATCAGGGATTTCCAATCTGCTTTTATTTATAAATTATTTACACAGATTACGGTTCCAACTTAAGATAGTTCTATGCATTATGTAGAATTAATTTTGGTAAAATGTGGCAAATCTTAGCTCCTTGGAACAATATTAAATAAATTATCTTTTGAAATGTGACTCAACCTTTAAAACAAATTCCTACTTCTTGTATCAACTTGCACTTTTAAATGCTATACTTCCACTACATATTTACTTTAATGAAGTGAACTAGAATATTCTTTGCTTTCCAGCAACATTCAACAAATCTAAAAATTCTAGAGATTTGTGAAGAAAATGTATATGAGACATGACAAGTTATTACAAGAATTGGAATATGCTTAGAGAATGCCCCACAACAGAAACTAATACAGTACAAAGTCTTTAATCCGAACTCGTCGGGACTTCGGTGGTTCCGGATTAGGGGTTTTTCCGGATTATAGATCTTCAATTTAAATCTGGTAAGATGGCATGCAGAAATTATAAAATTAAAAACATGAAGCCATAATTTATGAAATAAAGAGCAATTATGATTTACAGGGCATCAAAATTTGCAAAAAAAGCTTAGTATTTATTTGTTTACTTTATTAAACATTTCTTTCAATGTAAGTTGTTTAAGTTGCTTCGTTTTTGTGCTAATACTTTCTCTTTAACTCTATAAACAGACATAATTTCTTGTTCAGTTCCACTGTTCAAGTCCTGTAATTGCTGTGTTGAGAATACCGTCTAACTTGTCAATCGAAATTTTTTAGTTTTCAATAACCTCTCTGTCACTTTCTTCACTATCGGAAGCGGTACATCGAAACATGCTTTTGCTTTGTAGATTCTTTGGCAGCTTCAGAATCGGAAACTCTTTTTGACACAATTGAAATTTCAAGCTTACTTTCATAAAATTGCTCTAATAGTGTGCAAAAAATAATAAGCCGGATCCAATTAGAAGATTAAGGAACAACGCAATCTGCAACATTGAAATACATAATTATATATTTTTAGCCTAGCTTATACTGTCCGTTATACATTAAACGTGCATGCATAAAGGTATTATGCGTTTATGCATGAGCAGAAAGTTTGCAGCTTTGAGGTCCAGATTATAGACCATTCCTGATTATGGACGTCCGGATTAAAGACTTTGTACTGTAGTTGATAAAGGCTCAAGTACGCAACATTTTCGATAAACTGAAATATCAGCAATCAAACTTCATAGCATGAATCCTATTATTTACAAATCTTAATATCATTTTACAACTCTGACATTAAAAATAATATTTCATACTGAAAAACAATCTTGCTAGTAATTATATAATGCTAATCAAATGTAAAGCTTCAAAACAAAAATACATAACAGGAAATTTATGCCATTATTTAAAATATGTACTTGTTTCAACATGAAATAAAATTAATTTCTGAAATCACTTTTTTATACAGAAGTAAATATAAATGAAGAATTGCATAAAATAATTACCTCTGCCTTGGTATGTGTTTAATATGGCTTTCACTATTTGTCCTATGCTTCTCTTTTTTAATTCCTACCTCTTCTTGTTTCTCAGAACAATCCGATACAGGAGACTCACAAACATTTTCTGCACTTTTAGGGCACTTACTGACTATTTCATTGGTTGAACAAGACATTTCAGATGCAGTTGCTTCATAAGCTACATCAGTAAATTTTACATCTTGTTTATTTGTTACAAATCCTTTGATCTGACTATTATTTAAGGCATCTACTTCAATGCTACTTAACCTTTCACTGCTTAATGGAGAAGATAAACTTCTGTCATCTGTTATTCCTATGTTGCCTACATACAAAGAAAAAAGAAATGACTTCCTATGGAAAATGATCATAGGATATCAACAATGCACCTATCTAGTTTAATAAAATAGTAAAATATATAAACATATGCAATTTGGCTTTAAAAAATCTAAATGTAAACATGTAGTTTGGCGCAAAGTTTTAGTCATAGCAAAATTCATCCAAAATATTTTCAAATGCTTATGGCCATTTGAAGACCTATATAGTATAATCTTCCCTGCATTATGAATTAGAGGTGGATCAGACTCTTTGGCTTACCAAATGGGTTAAAGTTATCAGATTTTATTCTGTTTAATTTTACCACATATGTGAAGTACAATGCTTTCCAAACGTTACACAGAACACAGTAAATTTGAAACACATTATACTTTGATTGACTGAAAATTTCATCTTAAAGATGCAATTTCGTTACACATTTATAACTAAAAAATATATTAAACATACCTTTAATTACATATACAGCATGTCCGATTAAGACTACCTAATCTCTGCACAACTAAATTCCTCACTTGGAATATATGAAAAATGCCCACAGAACTGCACCCATACAACCCATAGTTTTCAAGATCAATGCAAAAGAAAAGGATGATGTCATATCCAGTGCAAGGGGAAAAAAAAAAAATTATCAGAAACATGAACGTCAATACTTGCATGTGTTTACACAGGAATATGTTCAAAAAGTTCACCACGCAAATTGAGGCATGCCCACAACATAGAGTGACATGAAGTCATCATACTTAAACCGTATCTTGTTGCTACCAGTAATCTTCACACGGTGATAATGTACTCCACTTATGAATACTGCATACTTTTCTTAGTTCAATGTAATGGTAATGCCCTACATTCTGCAAGGAAGTATGCCCCTCAATATCCATCACGTCATCCTCTCAATGCCAAAGTCATCCAGAGTATGAATGACAGACTGAGAAATACTGAAAGCATCTACCCGAGATGCAATCAACAACACTACTTATGCACCTGAATATGAGAAGTAGTACTGTGCACAGGCTATTATGCTCAGAAGGGCTATACTCATTTCAGTATACCTGCTCTATATCCAGATGACTTTCAAGGATGCACTGATATTTGTGAATGGCTATTGTAACAGGATGTCGATAAAGCACATATCTCGTGGACGGATAAAGCATGCTTCACACATGATGAGGTCTTCAACAGTCACAACGCCAACGTGTGATCAGAGTTCAATCCTTCTGCAATTCATCCACAGACATATCAGGTCTGCTGGTATTCTAGGCACAATTGATACACAGCTGCTGCCTGAATGGCTTATGAGACATTCATACTTGGTATTGCTCCATGAAGTATTTGGCTGGATATGGAATATTCAGGCTGCTGGGCTAGATAGAGTGGATTCAGTTTTACCGCTACCATAATTGCCATTTGTATTTCTTCTTACTGAACAATTTGAAGGGATTAACACTATTGAGATTTAGTTAAAATCTTTAATCCGGACTCGTCTGGACTTTGGCGATTCCGGATTAAGGATTTTTCTGGATTATAGATCATGAATTTAAATCTGGTAAGATGGCATGCAGAAATTATAAATTAAAAATATGAAACCGTAATTTATGAAATAGAGCAATTATGATCTAAAGGGTATCAAAATTTACAAATAATAAAAAAAGCTCAATATTTATTTGTTTACTTTATTAAACATTTCTTTCAATGTAAGTTGTTTAAGTTGCTTCGTTTTATGTGATAATACTTTCTCTAATTCTGTAAATAGACATAATTTCTTGTTCAGTTACAAAGTTCCGCTGTTCAAGTCCTGTAATTGATGTGCCGAGAATACCAACTAACTTGTCAACCGAAATTTTTCGTTTTCACTAACCTCTCTGTCACTTTCTTCATGCCTTTATCCATTTTTTGCAGCAATTCCACTTTTTGTTTGATGGACATCGAAACATGCTTTCGCTTTGTAGATCCTTTGGCAGCTCCAGAATCAGAAACTCTTTTTGACATAATCAAAAGTCCAAGCTTACTTTTTATAAAATTGCTTTAACAGTCTGCAAAAAATAATAAGCCAGATCCAATTACAAAATTAAGGAACAACACAATCTGTAACATTAACTGAAATAGATAATTAGATAATTTTAGCCTAGCTTATTACCTTCCGTTATACATTAAACGTGCATGCGTAAAGGTATTATGTGCATGGGTAAAGGTATTATGTGCATGGGTAAAGGTATTATGTGCATGCATAAATGCATATGCTAAAAGTTTGCAGCTTTGAGGCTCGGATTATAGATCATTTCGTATTTAAGACTTTGTACTATAACCATAAAAAGTCTTCATGCTGTGTGTACTTTGATGAACACCTCACTGCTGCAACATGTTCAGCCAGCCATTCCATGGTGTTTGCATGCATGCCTTGATATGTCCTGTCGACATTTCAAACTCTTCCCTATTTAACATAAGCAAATACTGATGTTAGTGTTTTCAATAAAATCCACCCCCCAAACTGATATGCCATTATACTTTTCTTTCATATTTATTTTAAAAATTACAGGTACAGATCTTTGAGTATTTTTTATGTTGCAAGCTAAGAATTTGGCTGTGCAAAGTTAGGATACTTTGTATATCATATTTTATATATTCAGAGGAAGGTTTGGCAAACAAATGAAACTTGCTTTTAAAAGGCACCATCTCTATTTTTCACACAATGGTATTTCAGGCTTTCAGTTAAGTAGTCAAGCACACCAAATGGCAATAATTATCATTCTTCTAACAGGACAGTTTTCAATTCTTTATAAACAGCTGGACAGATTACATGGGCAAAGATCATTCAAAGGCCTTTTAAAGATGTTTGATGATGTTATAATCAGGTTAATATGATGACAACTACATGCTAACTTTGCCTTCACTTTTAAGGTACTTTTCACTTAGCAATAGCAGACATTGACTTTCCAATTACTGTAGCAGATAACTCTCTTAGAAAAGATGTGGTTACACATAAATTGTGTTCAAATAATAAAACCATATACTTAACTTCAGGCTATGTGATAACTAAGGAATAACACACCAAACAATTGACTCGCTCATTTGAAAGCGATGTATTTAAAAGCCGCTCCTACATTTTCTCAAAGCTGAGAAGCTATAGAATGCTCAACATCAAAGAAAACAGTGACATTTTTAATAGACTGCCCACTTTCAGCATGCCAGCATAGATAAAAATCATTATTTTCTTTGAGTCAAAACTGATCTTATCAAAAAATAATCAGAATCATCATTCAAAAATATTCTATCAGCAGTTACTTCATCTACTCAGAGGCTTCAGAATGGTGTTATCTTCAATAGCCTAGTTTGTGGACAGTAAACTATAACTGGTCACACCTCACATTTACATATACCTTTCTATAATCACAGTATAATCATAATTATACATTTCACTCACTAAAACTGAAGCATGCATTTCTGAAGCTCAGAATGTGCACTGCATGCTTTAACTTCTGAAAAGTAATACAGTACAAAGTAATAGAGTATGATCTATGATCCGGACCTCAAGGCCACAAATTATTTTTTTTTTTTTTTTTTTTTTAAGTTACGCATGCGCGTTTAATGTATAACGGACGGTATAAGCTAGACTAAAATTATCTTTACTGATTCTAAAGCATTTCAGTTATTTCTGCAGACTGCGCTGTTCTTTAATCTTCTAACTGGATCCAGCTTATTATTTTTTGCAGACTGTTGGGGCAATCTTATAAAAATTAAGCTTGAACTTTCGATTATGTCAAAAAGAGTTTCCAATTCTGGAGGTGCCAAAGGATCACAAAGTGAAAGCATGTTTTGATGTACTGCTTTGGATAGTGAAGAAAATGACAGAGAGGTTATTGAAAACGAAAAAATTTCGACTGACAAGTAAGTCGATATTCTCGACACAGCAATTACAGGATTTGAACAGTGGAACTTTGTAACTGAACAAGAAATTATGTCTGTTTATAGAAGAGATAATTAAAGAAAAAGTATTAGCAAAAAAAAAAAAAAGAAGAAGAAGAAGAAGAAGCAACTTAAACAACTTACATTGAAAGAAATGTTTAATAAAGTAAACAAATAAATATTTATTTTTATTTTTATTTTTCAAATTTTGACAACCTTTCGATCATAATTGCTCTTTATTTCATAAATTACGGTTTAATATTTTTAATTGTATAATTTCTGCATGCCATCTTACCAGATCTAAATTGATGATCTATAATCCAGAAAAATCCTTAATCTGGAATCGCAGAAGTCCCGATGAGTCCGAATTACGGACTTTGTACTGTATAAAGAATAATACTGAAGACATACTAGAGACATTGGATTTTTGCTGCTGTGTATTCCATCTCAACAGGATTTAAAAAAAATCTAATGTGGACGACACGACTTCCTTGTACGGCCTATTAAATTATACATGATTTTTGCTGCATTCCATTTAAACCTATTTCCTTGAATTTAATAAGAGATATATTTCTCATTCAATTAATTCAGTTCTCACCTCGCTGCAAGGCTAAAATACATAAAAACTCATTAAAAATTTAAAACTATAGAAAAACATAACACCAAATACAATCTAAACCGTTAAAAAAAAATTTTTGTTTTTACAATTAAAATTAATTTTTGTGCAAAAACAAGCAATTCTGCCAACGGCCAAGAAGGCAGATTTTTCGGTGCACAAAACTGAAAGTTTACTTTTGGTCCCACTCAGCAAAGAGACACCGAAGGTGCAGAAACTGACTTAACACATTGACTGCCAATCAAGTGCCAGCGCATGACGTTTTGTTACCAGCAAAGAGCCAATCACGTGCCAGCGCGTGATGCGGGGTGATGTCTCAGCAGACAGTCACGCGCTGGCTCGGGAAATTTCTATACTTGCTATTCATTCTCCAGTTCATTTGGCATTGCATGCAGGGCATTTCTTATGGTATTGGAGTGAAAATTAGAAACTACGTATAAATAATTGCGGTTTCGAAATTTTTGTTTTATTTT